CGGAATGGCTGAACTAATTTTAACTTGATTAACAGAGAGACAGCAATGGTGAGGTGATCTAGACTATATTGTATCGTAAAATTTTGAGTTTTATTACGAAAAGCCGATATTTTTTTAAATAAAGTAAATTAATACATCTGAGTACCAGGTTTTTGTATTTTTATTACAATCTGTTTTCATTTTATTATTCTAAACCACTTTTGTATGCTTTTCATCCTACATTTTCGTATTTCAATAAAACATGGGTTCAACTCTTCCTGCAGGTACTATATATATATATATGTGTGTATGTATGTATGTGTGTATATATATATATATATATATATTCGGTATAGTAAATTAATAAAAACATAGTTACGGATAAAACATGAAATTAATTTTTGCGTATGCTTTTCTAAAATACTATACGGTTATATTCCGCTTCGCGTTGACATACAAACATATTTTAATCGTATAATTTTTAAATTATTTATTTCGCCGCTTTCATACGTAAACTTGAAAAGTAGGTTTCTTGTATACTAAGGCTAGATTTAAGTTTATTCGATCTACTTAGTTCTTTAAGATATAGACTGTAAAAATACTTAAATTTAGAAAATGCAGTGCAAAAATGCGGAGAGGGTAGCTCATTCTTATATTTTTTTATTAGAGGTCCCGGGTTCAAATGTCGGGTCATATCTGGGTAAATAAGAAACAACATGATTGTTTCTTATTTACCAGCAGACTACGCTCTCACAGAATACCATCTCTATGCTGCTGTGTTTCGTATGGTGAGTGTAGATAGCCGGAGGAACCTTTTTGCTGGAAACGAGGCATTCTATTCCATTCCTATGGGGTGACAACACATCTGCATTTGCATTATTAATCGAGAATAGATAAACGTCTATAGGGCACAGTAACCACTAATCATCAGGTGAAATATGTGCTCGTTTGTCACCCTTATTCTTTAAAAAAATGGAGTTTGGAAAATTTTTAATTAAGATTTGTATTATTTGAACAAATTGGGAAGAGGGTCAAAGGAAACTATTTCATTAGGTAGGTACATATGTACCTACATAGCCGGTTGGCTGACATAAGCTAGGAATACCGCTGGCCGAACATAAAACGTGTTACAATTATATTAAAACAAAGAAAAGGTTTATAATAAACAAATCAAGTTGAAAGTTATTAGAAATGATAATAAAAAGAAAAAATAACCAAATAAATATGAGTGAAATTCATAAAAAAATTGTATGTAATGTAGATTTGCCACATGGACGACGGTATCCATTTACCATCAGTTGGACTGTATGCTTGTTTACACCCTTATTCTATTTTTAAAAAAAATCTGAAAAAACTACTTATGACAGTAAATTATCTGTACGAGTTATGAGTATCACCGTTATATTCAGTAACAGTTCACTTTATGTGGCTGCAATAAAAGCAAACTATGGCAAATTATATTCAAAAGTAGATAAATCTTAATTATTTAGTAGCCAGAGTTGAATTAAGCTATTTTGGCAGTCGGCACTAACAGTTTCAAAGTGGTATGAAAATTTGGCATCGGTAAGCATTCACTGAGCGTTTTTGAGACATTTTGAAGTTATGTTAAAGTAATGTGCATTATTTTTGTTGGAAATTTTGTGTGTAGTTTTTGGATTAAGATATGTGACGATGAGCTACATTTTTATTTTTGTAGAATAAAGTTGCAAACGAACATAGACCACCTGATGGTAATTGGGCGCAGTGACCTGTAGACACCGATTTCTGTCCTTGATTAAAAATCAAAATGAAGATGTGTTGTTACCTCTGAGGACTAAAAAGAATGCCTCGTTAGCAGTAAAAAGGGTCTCTGGTAACTCAGGACTCTATAACTACACACACCGTAAGAAGCACAATTTTATAAACTTACGCTGGTACTGTCAAATAATAGTTCCGTGCGGGTAAGCTTCCAGCATGTACGGCTTATCCCCAGGCCTGATTGACTAAGTAAAGGACTTTGTGGGTAAACGTTCTACCCGAGTCATCTTCGATGGCTGCACAGCCGATTCTGTGGCGACTAATGCTGGTGTTTCTCAGGGATCCGATCTCACCGCACATCTCTTCCTGCTGCATATTAAATATCTGCTTATGTCTGGTATCTATGGGTAATCAGACGACAGCTCATTTGCAACGAGTGCTCAGGCCAGTCGGAATCTAACCCTGTCCGAAAGAGAGCTATGGGTAGGTATGTGAATCTCATATTCCTGGCAGTCTCCGAATGGGGCAATGCCAATCTTGTGAAATTCAACGCCTCCAAAAGACAAGCGCGTCTTTTCACTACAAACGGGTGATAAACCAAGTCATGAATTTTAAAACTAATAAGCATTTTTAAAAACATCGAGATTATCTAAATTTCTGATAATGTTTTAAGTCCCGTTACTACAAATATTTTTTAGTAGTGGAGTTAAACAGTTATTTGTAAGGAAAGCCACCCCGAGGTGCCTAGTTAACTGCAGTCGCTTTATTACCGTTGGGAAGTTTGTACTTGCATTGATGATGTGATTTTTTTGATTTGGTATTCGTCAATTTGACAAATATAGACAAATATATTGTTTCTGATTTTGATTTTTTTATTAGCTGACTTCAAAACACGAGGAGACTTACACTTCGACTGTTTTTTTTTTTTCAATACGATATAGCAGACCTATCCAGGAAATATTTTTTTTCCAATTCTTGTTTTTAGTTTCATTTTAATTCTTATTTCTTTTTTTCCCTAGTAACTCAGCGATTTGTTAATTTTCTGCGTTTAGGTCATCTTGCTTCTATGTACGTACCACCTTCAGAGACCATCGACTTTGCCTCAATAAAATGACTAGAACTATAGAACGATGTAGATGGCTCTATTTATTATAAATCAATTTTACTGAAAAGAAAATACTTTTTATTTAGTACACTAAATTTTTGGATAAAAATGCCTAAAAAATAAGGATTGTAACATTTATTTGCTATAAAATTAAACCTTATATTTTATGCAAGTGCAGCATAAAATAGAAGATGGTTGAAAATTATATTAAATAATATTATACGTATAGTAAGGTAGTGGTGGTCCTGGACCCAATAATTCCCAAAATGTTACCGTCATCTACATGCGACCTCCATAATCTATTGAAATCTTTCAATTCCCGCTTTACACTAATTATTATAGATAAATAGATGACTTGCCTCACATTTTGGTGGGTAAGTTCGAAATTAGTTTTAATTTGACTTCGAAAAACGAAGAAGTAAAATTCAACTGTACGTTTATATTTTTGTATGTATGACACGCGATATATTTGCCAATTGTAAATCGATTTTCAGGGTTATTTTTTGGCTTAAAACCTAAACTAATACAAACATAATAATGTAAGGGGAACAGTTGAGAGCTCTGACTAAGAATGTGTTGTAGAGAATCTACAACGATGGTTTTTCTGTCAGCACCGGTAGTACGCGTACACAACTGGTAATATTACAATAAAAACAATTGATTTGTTTAATTAGCCAGTTCACGTTTTCATGGTGTTTACTATTAATTAATAAATAATATTCATGCACAAAATATAAACAATACAGATGAAAATAGTATATATTAGAACTGGGAGCTCCATTTAGGGTTAGGTATATTCAGAATCACTCTTATGCTAAATGGAAAAAAATTAAGTAGGTTATACTTCAGGCGTGGTCCTATAGGTTTATTTTGGTCAATACAGAGTTATTTTGCGTTAACCGGCCAAACTTGCAGAGAAGATTCAGAATTAGAAATACAGACATATGATGGAAAAAAAATTATCTCAAACATTCCGTTCTTTTTTATTGAATTCAAAATGTGTGGTAATGCACTATTTTAAGAGATTTTATGGAGCACGTACACATTCGTAAGGGTCGATCGCGGTCGAAGGAATAAAATGTTGTCAGTAAATCACATTCCATTTGGGATAGTTCGAAATTAAATTAGAAGCCTTATTTATACGTATTTTCAAAAACTGCAATAACAGTATATCAAACTTAAGTTTAAATATATATTTATATATGTAAATATAAGTTTAAAATTTGGCTACTCTTTGAAGAATAACCTTGTATAAATTTAAAATCTAAATTTATACAAGGTTTTTTTTACATATTGGGGTTCGCTAAATAATTATATTTAGACAATATTGAGATTGTGACATATGGTTCTTAACTTAAAAGGTCGGTTTTCACATTTTGTTAAAAGTTTATTTTGTTTTTTATAATACTTGAGTGTTGTTATAAGCTAGAGCTCGACTACTATCGAGCCTGATGGTAAGGGGTGATGCAGTCGAAGATAGCTAAGCGCACTGACATTTCTTAACAAAAACGTACTCCCATTGTCTTGAAGACACCCACATAAATACTATTACAAAAATTAGTTTTTCTTCTTTACATGCCAAAAAAGTCAACAGCTGGAGGCTCATTCCCGCACTAAAGGGAGGGAATTTTGTTTAAACATAACTAATAATATTATAATACCTAAAAAAAATAAAAATTACAGTATTAGAAATATATTTCGTCAGACAAAACTTGTTGCGCGCCACAGTTTGTGGCCCTAGCGCCATCTAGTATCGAATAGAAGAATCAAGCTTTCTAGAAATGTCCACACTCGAATTTTCTACATCTAGTGGGTTTGAACCGGTATTTTATGGAACATTCTAGATGGTTCGGTGGAAAAGGCCTATAGAAAACCTTTAAGGGCCGCGACCGGGTCAGTATTGAATTGGCGACACAAGCGAAGACTTCGGAGCGAAATTAAGTGAACTAAAGTGTTAAATATGATTGATTATTAGTGCGTTTTAAGTTTTAATTTGTATTCGGTAATTAACATGTCAATTTTAGTAATTCAATCGGCAGTTTTTATTGTCACGAACTCTAAGCTCGTCACACTAGTATCCATTTTACCTCATGCATGAGCTTGGAACATACCGCGTGAGTCGAATGCAAAGCAGCCACAGCAAGGTGTACTTGAGTTATCGGAGCGCGTCTCCGCGATCCTACTTACGCTCCACTGCATTTTGGCATAATGTAATGCGCTGGCGGATAAAGAACTTCATATAAGCTAGGAACATACCGCGTAAGTCGAATGTAATGAGCGCGTCTCCGCGATCCTGCTCACGCTCCACTGCATCTAGGCATAATGTAATGCGCTGGCGGATAAAGAACTTCATATAAGCTAGGAACATACCGCGTGAGTCGAATGTAAGGAGCGCGTCTCCTCGATCCTGCTCACGCTCCACTGCATCTTGGCATAATGTAATGCGCTGGTGGATACAGAACTTCATATAAGCTAGGAACTTACCGCGTGAGTCGAATGTAAGGAGCGCGTCTCCGCGATCTTGCTCACGCTCCACTGCATCTTGGCATAATGTGATGCGCTGGCGGATAAAGAACTTCATGTAAGTAAAATATAACTGCATTTGTTACGTTCATTTTATAATTCGTATAGAGCTTGTGACCATTGAAGGAAAAGGGGAATCTCCTGTCGTAAAATAAACGAATAATATTACTACTAAACTTGTGTAATTAAAAATAAGTAAATCAAACCCGATAAAATCTGTAAAAATAATTTTATTGTATAATGATTTTAACTTTATTATTATTTTCTGTAAAAATATCAATTGATAGTTGTCTGAAAGAAATTGCTATTAGCAATAAGACGCCAAAAGCATACTTCTTTTGTGTATATAATCTGTAATTTTTGTATGGTGAGCAATAATGAATATTAAATAAATAAATTAAATGAAACTTAATAAAGCATCGTTTCATTTGAATTACATTGATCACGTACACTAATGAACACTTTGCCTATCCTTAGTAGTACAAGTTTCCTCAACGATTCGTTTCAGTAACAACAACAAAGCAGCTTGCAACATTACCTTGACATCTCGAGCCGCTCTCTCTAACAGCACTTTGTTGGTACTCGTAATCTAAAGAGGTAACTATAAACTACGTAGTTGGTAATTAACAAATGCCAGTGTATCTGAGCTTTACAATTAATTTGTCTTAAGTTATACCAAAACCGTAATCACCAGAGATATAGAGAGATCTCAGTATACCCTCAGGGTAAACTAAGACCCTTTTTACCGGAAACGAGGCATTCCATCCCAGTCCTCAAGGGTGACAATGCAATGTTGACTCTCAATCGAGGATACATGTCTATGGGTTACGTCATCCACTTATCATTAGGTGAATTTTGGGCTTGTTTATCACCCATATTCTTCAAAAAAATCTATGGTAAGCCAAAATCTTTCCGGCATATCCCTAAGTTGCCTCTTACGGCATTTGCTGGGTTTGTAGATTTCTTACCTCCACCATAACGTAGTATATTTTATACCTTATCAGTTTTAAAATATTCAATGTTTTTCAAATTAATTAATTCATTTATTACGGTACATTAAAAGTTCACAGCTGAACATAAGTCTTACTTACAGGTTGCCTCATTCTCCTTGTGATTCAATAATAAACAATGTCCTCTAGATTGAATTTCAGTCACGGCAGCCAGTATCAATGGAGACTAGCCGGCTGCACCGTACAGGATTATTATTATTTATTCTCTATTCACTCACTTTCATGGTCCCGATGGGATGACAATCCGACACCATTGTGTTTTTTCGAGAAACGGGTTGAAAACCCGCCAACTTCCAGACCCCAGGTTATATATGAACAGTGAAGTTCTTTACAATACAACTGAATCAGTTAATTAGTTCGTAGTCAATCGAGTCAGTGTTCATAATTTATATCCCCCATTTAACATAGTTTCCGCGTTTAGTAGGTGGCAACCGAAGACTTTTTATTATTTTGAGATATTGTGGAAGGTACAACACCTGCAACTTGGCGTAGTGAATACTCTTACACCGACCCTACACGGTATTATACATTATACAAAACGGTACGCCATTATGCCTGGTAGAGTCAACGCTGGAGTTATTTTATAGTTATAGCACGAATAAGCCGGCTACACTGAGGTAGGACCACGTTCTCACAGAATACCAGCGAGAAATATCAGCTTGATGCTGCTGTGTTCTGTATGGTGAATGTAAAGTACCGGTGACCCTTTTTACTGGAAACGAGGAGATTTTTAATTCCATCTTAGTCCTCAAAGTTGACAACGCATCACATTTTGATTCTTAACCTAGGGTAAATATAAATGTCTATGGGCTACAGCATACATTTTATATCAGGGCTGTGTGTTCATTTATCTCACCTATTCTATAAAAAAACACCGAAAACTTTTCTAACAATTTCAGATTTTTATCCCGATTACTCTTTTTATTCATGCTACGAAGTTAAAGCGGGATTGTCGCACGTTAATTTAACACTGATGTCGAAGTATGAAGAACCTCTGTGCCATTTTAAAAAGCGAGTGACTGAAATATTGAATCGGAATTTTACAAAAAATATTCCCATTTAAGTTTAAGTATTTTATATTACTTGAATTTTATAGAATAAGTACATAAGACAATTGTTGGTATATGGCTCTTTTATAGCAATAAGTGTGACAGTCGGCCCTGATCCAATAAGTTTAACCCTAACTACTAGTTGGACTTACACATTGAACTGGTAGTTACTTCCCGATTTAAACGCGTTCAGAATACAAGACACTCTTCGCAGTTATATGTAAGTATACATTAAAATTTCTTATTATTTTAGGTTAAGGAGTATTTTTCCAATAAGTACAATTTTCCTAAGTAACTAAATAGTTGAACTGATCGGAATCTTTTGTTCCATAATTTCAACTAAAGTGTGTTTCTAGGACAGGCGGAAAAACCTTTGACGACATCATCGGGGTAGCCAACCGTTTTTTTTTTAGATTTTATTTTTTTATCCTTGTATCATTACATACATTATCAGAGTAAAAGATTAGAGTGCCGAGTGCGAAGTTCTTCGCAGGCCCCGTTTCTATTATTATATTATGAAGAAAAAAGATTATCCTGTACTTGTATGAATTAAAAAGCAAATTAACATTAATTTAAATTTATGATTTATAAATCATAAGATTTATTACAATTTTCATTATTACGTTAATAGTAGTTAAGTAGTTTAATAAGTAGGTAGATAGGTAGTTGTACAAAACATAACCACTTCTAGGCAGTTAGGTAAAAAGGAGAACTTTTAATGCTAAGCATTATTTTTTCGAGTTCCGAAATATGCGACAATTTCCTCTTCTTTCGTGGTGACGTAAAATCTTTATAAGTCTTTGATGTCGAAGGACTCGATTCCATACCGGTGATAATATACAATACGTCACAAAATAATAACAAAAACTTTAATACAAAACGTAACAATGTAACAAACAAAACAAACCTTCAATTAAATAAATAAAAAAATTTTCAAATCTCAAACTATCTACATCTTGCAAATACGCACGACTCGAGATCGCGAATAGTGTCGAAACAGGTTTCTTATCTCTGAATGACCACTTACTTCACCCTGCCTCATACCATGAGACACGTCTAGAGCATAACGATGCGTAATCTATAAAGAAATGTATGGAAGCAATCCCTGTCGCTTCACTGTTTAACTTACGGTTGAATTTAATGAATCAGGTCGGCAAACAAATATACAGCACACAGGGTAATTAGTGGATGCTGTGGTATTCAGTTTAAGTTTTAAGAGCTACTACTTTTTTCTGTGAAAAACATATTGCCTAGGAGGTGAAACAGAGCCCCAAGTGCCAGCTCTTAGACCTACTGTTTGCAAAATAGCTGTAGGACCTAAGGCTTCCAGAAGAACCTAAGCAGCTGGTTTTTATTGATGACTTAGTTTGACCCTGAGAGTGTGTAGTTCCTAAAGTTTGCGCACAAAATAACATGTAGCTGATGTAAAACAACGGCTATTTTGGAAGTCTGAAGTATGTGAACATGTTCAGGATCTTTACCGTAATTATATCAGATTTGATAGACCACCAAATCCTTACAAGAGAACACCGATTCTTACTAAACGTGAGTCGTTTGGCTGTTGAAATTATAAAAAACCTTCAATCTAAATTAGGTCATATCTCAAAAATGCTTATTTTGCAATGTTCCACTGCTGTTCTTGATCAACGATATTTCTACTTGCGCGAACTGTAAACAAAATTGTTACCATTACCGTTACAGCCTATTAAATTCTACAGATGAACACAGGCCTCCCCCATAGCTTGCCTCATAGGGGGATATTTGCCACAGTTGCTACACTTTTCAAGCGGGTTGATAACCGCAGCTTTTTAATTTTTAGTCGTTATTATAACGACGCTACTGCCCATTTCCAGACTTGTTTCCCTCTGTCGCCTTTTACGACTCCCGCGGGATGATATTGGGTATTAGGTATTCTGACGCCGCTACTATACGGTAAAAAAAAATTAATTGTGCAATTAAATGACAAATGTGTACTTTAAGCAGGACAAAATAATCCTTAACATTTTAATAAAATTAAGTCTGCACAAAGTAAAGTTTAAGTTACCGCACATAGTGTAAAGTTCGACTACATGTTACTCACATTCTTTGTTAATGTTTGTGGAAGCCAACCTGAGACGTAGCTTTTTCGAAGTTTCGCAAAACTCAGAACTGGAAACTTTTTAAGAGTTCTCTTAGTCTCCGACAGTGCAAGCTCTGTCTGACTCATTATACTAATGAGAAGTTGTAACTTACGTAGCACTTTTCCGTTAAGATTTTGACAACTAATTTTGACGTGACGTCTCCCGCCGCGAAACAGTGTTCAAAGAGTTATCGCTATGAATATTAACTTGCCGATTATTCGTTGTTTGCGAATAATAAGCGACCGATTCAACTCGGGTGGGCAGCGTTCGGGAAATTACGTCACATCTTCTCGTCCGGAATACCTCGAACTCTGAAAACTAAATTGTACAACCAGTGCGTGATGCCAATGATGACTTACGGATCTGAGACGTGTTCCTTCACTGCTGGCCGTATAAGGACCTCTCTCCTCCTAAAAGTAAAGTAAAGTTACAGCCTATATATGTCCCACTGCTGGGTGCAGGCCTCCCCTCATTTCTGAGAGGGTTTTAGGGCAAGGAAGTGTCCGCCGCGCTGCCCCAATGCGTGTTGGCGAACTTCACATGTCTTCGAAATATTTTTTTCTTTTTCCTCAGACATGCAGGTTTCCTCACGATGTTTTACTTCACCGCCGAGCACGTGGTAAAATCAGCACTTAAAAATTGCAATTAACAATTTCATTGGTGCCGGCGGGGATCGAACCCGGGTTACTCGCATTCTGTTATATTTACAGCGAGCGTTAACCATCTAAGCTACCGCGGCTCATCTCCTCTCTCCTCCTCGGCTCTGTCCTCCTATCTCGCCATTTTTATCTTGTACGTACTTCTTGCTGCTCACCGTATGAAACACAGCAGCTATTATAAATAATTATAAATAACGTTAAGCTATTATTTTATGCCGGT